AGTACTTAAGGCATTTGACTGTTAACCAGAAAATTGGCAGTTCAAACCCACCAGCCATTCCACAGAACAAAGACTGGGCAATCTACTTCCATAAAGATTTACTGCCTCATAATCCCAAAGGGGTTTGCTATGAGTTGGAATTGACTTGATGACAGTGAGTTTGGTTTGATTTTTTGTTTATTTTGAGGTATAATCCATACTGAAGACTGTAGTCTTTGATCTTCATCAATAAGTGCTTCACATCATCTTCACTTTCAGCAAGCAAGATTGTGTCACCTACATATCACAGGTTGTTAATGATTTGGATGCATATTCTTCTTTATATGGTCCAGCTTCTTGGATTATTTGCTCAGCATATATATTGAACAAATATGGTGAAAAGATACAACCCTGATGTACACTCTTCCTGATTTTAAACCATGCAGTATCCCTTGTTCTGTTTGAATGACAGCCTTTTGATCTATGTACAGATTCCTCATGAGAACAATCAAGTGTTCTGGAATTCCCATTCTTTGTAATGTTATCCATAATTTGTTATGATCCACACAGTTGAATGCCTTTGCATAGTCAATAAAACACAAGTAGATATCTTTCTGGTACTCTTTGCTTTCACCCATTAGAGAGATGCAAATCAAAACAACAATGAGACACTATCTCATCCCAACATGAATAGCAAGTTCAAAAAAACAGAAAACAAAAAATGCTGGCAAGGGTATAGAGAGACTGAAACCCTCTTAAACTGCTGGTGAGAGTGTAAAATGATGTGACCACTGTAAAAAATGGTATGGTGCTTCCTTAAAAAGTTGGAAATAGAAATGCCATATGATCCAGTAATCCCATTACTAGTTGTATATCCTTGAGAAATAAGAGCCTTGATACAAACATATACATGCACACTCATGTTCATAATGAGAGTTATTCAAATAGCAAAAGAAAAAAAAAAAAGAAACAACGTTAGTGTCCATCAACAGATGAATGGATAAATACATATATAGAATGGAATACTGCTGTTTGTTGTTATGTGCCGTCAAGTCGGACCCAACTCATAGCAACCCTCCTTGGGTTTCTGAGGCAGTATCACTACAGAAGTAGATTGCCCAACCTTCCTTCCGAGGAGTGGCTGGTGGGTTTGAACCACCAGCCTTCTGGTTAGCAGTCAAGTGCTTTAGGCACTATGCTACCAGAGCTCCTAGAATGGAATATACTACACAATGTTAAAGAATAACATTGAATCTGCCAAACACCTCCCAACAAGAATGAACCTGGAAGACATCATGCTGAGTGAAATTAGTCAATCACAGAAGGACAAATATTGCACGGGACCACTACTACAAAAAGTCAAGAAAAGGTTTACTCAAAGAAAGAAGTATTCTTTGAAGATTACCAGGAGTGGGAGGGGAAGGGTACCCTCATTAACTAGAGGGTAGACACATATTAACTAGAATGAAGGAAAAGGCGATATATAATAAGAGGGAGGTCAGTACAAAATGATCAAGGCAAAGGAAGACACTGGGAAGAGCACAAGAGTTAATCACAACAAAGGTAAATACTATTACATACACAATCCTGCAATAATAGTAATAATACTCCACAAATGGATTCATAGATAGACATGCAAACTGAACAGGAGGGGAAGGTGAATGGGACTGCATTCATGAATATATACGGGTTTTAAAGTGCATATTTCTACATATGTATTTATATGTGTTGCAAATATATCCATTAATATAGTAGAGCACACAGTGGGGAAAGTTATGAAAACTTCTTAGCCATAACCAACCATGCTGAGAGAATGAGTGGCTGGGTCCAGGAGCCCAGGGTCAGAGTCATGGGGGACATTAAGGTCAGGTGGTATAACACAGTCCACAAACACAATGTTCTACATCCTAGTTGGATAAGTAGGGACTGGAGTCTTAGCTTATGAGCTGCCATCTAAGGTGCAACTATTCATCTCTCTCTCTCTCTCTCTGTCCAGAGCAAAGAAGAGCAAAGAAAATCAAAGATGCATGAAAACAATTAGTCCATGGGAACCCCAGCCTCCACAACCCTGAAACCAGAAGAACTAGATGGTACCTAGCTACCAATGCTGACCACTCTGAAAGGGATCATAAAGGAAGGTCTTGGATACAGGGGGAGAGAAATTTGGAACAAAAGTTAAAAAGACCAGGCTTACTGGTCTGATAGAGATTGGTAGAACTCCTAAGACTATGGCCCTTAGAACTCCTTCAAGCCTGGAACTCAACTCACCTCCTTGTTCAACTTTTAGCTAAGTAATAGGCCTATAAGTGAACAATAGCACCAGGGAGGTACGCACTCCCTAGAACACCCAATCATATGAGATTAAAAGGGCAGCATTTGCCCAGATATAAAGCTCAGAAGACAGGACCAAACCAAACCAAACTCGCTGCCATCAAGTCCATTCTGACTCATAGTGACTCCTATTGGTTTTCTGAGGCTGTAAATCTTTATGGAAGTAGATTGCCCCATCATTTTTCCAGAGAACTGCTGGTGGGTTTGAACCACTGACCTGGTCAGCAGACAAATGCCTGATACACTACGCCACCAGAGCTTAGGAAGGGACAGGAAAGAAGGATGAATGGAAACAGAAAACGGGGGGAGGTGGGAAGCATGCTATTACATTGTGGGAATTACAATCAATGTCACAAATCAAAATGTGTATGAATTGTTGAATGGAAAACCAATTTGCTCTATAAACTTTCACCTAAGTCATAATAAAAAGTTAAAATAAATCAATAAAATGACAAGAATTGACCACTGTGTTAATTCCTATTAAAATGGCTATAACCACTTTATGGGTTGGTGGGTTTGGGGGAGTTGGGGGCACAGGCAATGGAAACAATATATGTCATATTACATTAAATATCATTTTCTCCTAATCTTGGTGGTGAAAAATGATCTATTTTTCTCTTACCCAACAAACATTTACATACATATTTATGCACAGGGAAAGTAATACTGATACAACTGAACTCACTCTTCCTAAATCTACATTTTGCAGCAACTAAAAATAGAAAGTGGTTTTAAACACTTGGTTTACAATTCATTTAATCAGCATAAATATTTCAGGAACAAAACTGACATTTTACTTGTCAAAGTCCAGATTCCCTCTTCACAAAATGATAGAGGATTTAAGAAGAAATGTGGAATCATTAGGATATTAAAACCACCACAACAAAAAACAACTCTTAGTGACAGATGTGATGCTACCATTGAAGACATCAGTGTTTTTTTTTTTCCTTCTCATAGTTTATACCTTTTTTTAAAAAAACAAAAACAAAAACAAAACAAACTTTCCTTTAATCACATCTAATGTGTATGCTGTTACATTCCCCAACTGTGCATAAAGCTCGGATGAGCAGATGTGTAAAATTAAACAGTACTGTTAGTAACATTAGACCCTGAAGTGGCTTTGTTATAGTCTGTTTCTTACTTAATAATTTGCTCCAAGTGAATTCAGACACTTTGGGAACATTAAAACAGCAAAGGGAGGCTCCTTTTGCAACATTCAACAGTTGTCTGATTATTCTCTCATCTGTTCTCTTAATAGACCAGGGGACTTCTGATACTTTCACCAATGCCTTATGGAGGTAGCAGCATCACACCTCATTTAACTTCAGGAGAAGGAGAGAAAAATCACCATCAACACAAAGCTGATTACTATAAGGTGGAGGTCAGACATATCTCCACTCTCCAACCTTTTTACCAGTTCTGACAACAGGCTTGCCACAGCACTTTCTACTTCTCTGCTGGGTTCAATACACAGAACTCACAGACCACACTCATGATTATATAGTTTATGAGGGAAGTAATAGGCTACAGTTCTGGATCAGGATCAACTTGGAAGTAACAAGATACAGGATACAGTTCATAAATCAAGACAGCTCCCAACCAAGACAGCTCTCAGCTCCTTACTGGCCATGCCTGCCTGCAAGTCATGCTTGAGCCTCTGCCACTGGTCCCATTCAGCCTGGCCTTTGCCCTGCTGAACCAAGAGTTATAGCTCCTTAACTCTACCAACACACACTCAGAGACATTCCACTCTGCTAGCAAGCCTCCTGCCCGAAGGTGCTCAGCTCTTTGTTCCATGGGTTGGCAAGCTGCATCACAGCTGTCATGTGCCAGTCTCCTGGTTCCTACTGTCTTAAGCTGCTACCACTCTTGCCATGCCACACTGTTTCTTGTCCTTGTCTCTATTACAGTGCTCTCTCTTGGGTTTTGGAGGTTCTCAGCAGAGGGACCCCAGGTCCAAAGGACATGCTCCATTTTTGGCTCTTCCCCCTGATGGTAGTGAGGTCCCTTGAACTTCTGTGGAACTGGCTCTTCTATAAGGCTACTCCTCCCACTAAAACCATTGACAAATCCTCTTAGTATAGTAGGTCACAGTCACCTTATTTGCATAGTAAACTGTCCAAACCCTGCAAGGGTTTTATATACCTTACTTTTCTAGTAAACTGCTCAATCTCTTTGCAAGACTGTGGTCTAGCAAATCATTTTGGTAGAACTACAAACTTAGGACCAGAAAGGCCATAGATAAAAAGGAACTCATTGTACTGCACCTAATTTAAAGCTTCACATTGAAGGTGTATCAAGCAATCTCTTAAGAAACACCATATGGTGACATAAGTAATATTAACAAAGTGAAGATATGCCACGGTATAGAAAGTGAAGGCCTTGAAACTGAAGTAAGAAGAATGAGATCCTATCATTTAAAAATACTATGAAATATCTTTTTATGTGTTTGTTAAATGTGATTCAGAAAAATACCATACCAAGCTTATAATCCCAAAGAGAGCAGTTGAAGGAGAAAGCATTCACTGAAAGATAACTTTTATAAAGCAACCATCTTCTTCACTGCCAAATATAGCCTCTGGCTTAAATATAATTTATTCATCTTAGAAATCAAAGTATCTACAGGAAACCTTCCCCTCACCCCTTAGGTCAAAAAGCATTAAATCATAGTTTAAAAATCCATTACATACCTCTATGTAAAATCTTTAAACTCCACAAATAGGTAAGGCCTTTCACCACCTAAATTTAGAAAAGAGAAAACAATACAATTATTTTTATAGGGACTTTTCTACATTTCAAATATCCTATTGTCTATAATCCTTATAATTCGTAAGCATCTTTCATTTCTGTTCCAGGCTCTGTTGGGATGCCACACATGTAAGCCATAGGTTCCATCCTTTAACGAGCTTACGATGTTCTGAAGATAAGATACTCCAAATGAAAGAAACAAGTGTATGTGCATATAAGATGACCTATCGGTACATATACTAAATTCTTGGTGGTGTGGGTGAGGGAAGAGAGGAACTAGAAAAAATGAACAAAGACTTTCACTTTTTAATTTCTATATTTCCGTATTTGAATTTTTGAAAATAATTATATTTATGATAAAGGAAAGATATGTTTAACAAAGTGAACTAATGAAATAAGGCAGCAAATTCCAAGAATACAGCGGGTAAAATAGGTACCACTTTATGCCAGTAGTAAGGAAAGGCTTTACCAAGGTGCTAGGCCTTAAGTTCTTGATTCAACAAATGTGAGGAAAAGGGAAGAGAGCATTCAGAACAAGGTAAAATGTATAATCAAAGTGTTGGGGCAGAACACCCTTAAAAAATACCAAGGTCATAAAAGACAAGAAGTATCAAGGCACTACTCTAGATTAAGACTAGAGACATGACAACTGAATGAGATGCATAATCCCCAGACTAGATGCTGAGCCAGAATTTGTTTTTTTCCTTTTGAATATAAAGGATATTGTTGAACAACTGGCAAAATTTTTTAAAAAATAAGGTCTGCTGATTAGATTTTTGCTAGTTTCCTGATTTTAATCACTATTCACTGATTATGATTATGTCTCAGTAAATACAAACCTGAATTATTTAGGCATACAGGACCATGATGTCTGTAACTTATTCTCACATTTTTCATGGAAAAAAAAATCCAACCTGTATATGGATTTTTAAGCAAATACAATAAACTCTTAACAATTAGAGAATCTGAGGGAAGCATTTGTGGGGATTCTTTGTACTATTTTCACAAGTTTTCTGTAAGTTTTAAAATAAATTCAAAATAAAAATCTACTAAAATTTTTTTTTAAAAAAAGAACATTGGGGTAGGAAGGAATAAAGTGTACTACGATGATAGTCATCAGTCAGTCCGGCCAGAGTAAAATGTGTGTGTGAAAGAATCCTTTACGTTATGGTCATTACTTGGTCACAGCCAGCTACCCAGAGGGACCGAGTAGTTGATCCTGCGGGCTTGGGACCATAGTCGCAGGGGACATCAAACTCAAGTGGCATAACATACTATACAAAACATTGTTCCACCTACTACTTTGGCGAGTAGCGACTGGGACCTTAAA